AAACCTTTTTAAACATTTTAAAATGTTTATATATATATTATTATTATTTTAGTGAAATACAAAAGATTATTGAGATCGTAGTTTTATAAGACATTTATTGTTAATGAATAATTATTCGGTAAGTAATAAAATTATTAATAATAATTGACCTATTAATAATTAATTTTTAATTTTTATATTAATTTTATTTTGTAGATTATTATAAAATCGAAAAAAATTAAAATACTCTTAACGAGAGAAATTATTAAATGGCAACGCAGTTCACAATCATCAATAATAATTAAAAAAGAAATGCGACAAAAATTATTGAAATTATATTTGTTATATAGAAGATTGAAAAAAAAGAAAGTATTAAAAGAAAATTTTAGGTTTGTCCCATATTTACTATAAGACAAAGAATGTTGCAAGGTGCAAGCAACAATCTCATTAAAGAAATGGAAGAGTCCATTTCCAGATTCAGATAAATTTGTTGAATATCTGAATGGATACACCAATATTTAATAAATTATTAGATATAGTTAAATCAAAAATCGAAAAACAACATGCAATAAGAGAACCGATTTCTGCATCAACTCGTCTACAAATATGCCTACAATATTTGGCATCAGAAGATACAATGCCTTCGATTTCATTTGCATTTAGAGTGGGATTAAATACTGTTTCTAAAATTATTAGTGAAACATGTACAGCTATTTGGGACGTTTTAAGTGATCAAGTTTTTCCAAAAATTGATAAAAATCTTTGGAAAAGAAAGGCACAAGAATTTGAAACACTGTGGAATTTTCCTCACTGCATTGGAGCTATTGATGGAAAACATATTGAACTTCAGGTATTATTAAAAAAATAAAATAAATAACAAGCAATAGAGTAAATAAAAACATTATTAGATTTGTTTTATTGCATGTTGTTTTTCGATTTTTGATTTAACTATATCTAATAATTTATTAAATACTAGTGTATCCATTCTCAGATATTCAACAAATTTATTTGGATCAGACTCTTCCATTTCTTTAATGAGATTGTTGCTTGCACCTTGCAACATTCTTTGTCTTATAGTAAATATGAGACAAACCCAAAATTTTCTTTTAATACTTTCTTTTTTTTCAATCTTCTATATAACAAATATAATTTCAATAATTTTTGTAGCATTTCTTTTTTAATTATTATTGATGATTGTGAACTGCGTTGCTATTTAATAATTTCTCTCGTTAAGAGTATTTTAATTTTTTTCGATTTCATAATAATCTACAAAATAAAATTAATATAAAAATTAAAAATTAATTATTAATAGGTCAATTATTATTAATAATTTTATTACTTATCGAATAATTATTCATTAACAATAAATGTCTTATAAAACTACGATCTCAATAATCTTTTGTATTTCACTAAAATAATAATATATATATAAACATTTTAAAATGTTTTAAAAAGGTTTGAAAAAAAAATTGTTTAAAACTTGCGTGCTTATGTGCGTGCGTGCGTGTGTGTGTGTGTGTGTCGTGTTACATTGGACGTCACAAGTCGGTACGGAATTTTTATTGTCGAGTTTCCCATGCACTAATATATTTCCGGAATTCTGTAAAATTAAAAAATTTATTAGTTATAGTTACAAAAAAAAAATTATTATAAAAAATACATAAAGAAAAATAAAATTTACATATATTTTTTATTATAATATAAAATAATCAAGACATTTTCTAAATTAAAAGATAATTTGAGGTTAGAATACCGTTCCGTTTTCCGTAAAAGTCACTCCATGAGGAACCCAGCCAACGAAAAAGTCGGAATCTTACATGATTCTGATTGGTTGATACCTCTCTAGTACTTTTCCGAGATTCCGATTTCCGAAGTTCTGTTTGTCACATTGAACTATATACCATACTGGAACGAGCACATGCTACCCCCTCCATTCGACAAAACGGTCAGACAAGGCAGTGACTCGGTACCGGATTTCTCTTTCTATCTCGTCTACTCTCGACTAGTAGTAGTTGTGAACACGTGACCAAAACTGTTGGTTAGATAGAGAGATCCGGGTCCGAACAGCTATCTCCATCTGACCGGTCGAGAACAAAGGCGTGCTCGTTCCAGTATGGTATATATTTCAATGGTTTGTCATGAGACAGCACCCTTAGGGATTAGATATCGAATTAGATGTATCGATGTTTTGTATCGATACATATTGTTATTCACTATATCGATACATGAAAAATATCGAACCTGTTATATCGATATTGAGAATGTTGGTACAAAATATCGACGTTATCAATAAATGTCGATACATTAGGATTAAAATTGATTCTTAATTTCAAAATATATTTTTTACGTATTCAATTTATAGAATTCGATTTTTTTATATTTATATTGATTTATATTTATCTATATTTATATTAATTTATATTTAATTTTTATATATAAAATGTTATTTTTTATTTCTTACTTAATTTATACAAATTTAACTATTACGTGCAGATTTTTTTTAGTTTAGCAATTTGCAATTTGAAATATTTATTTTTCAATGCTGATACATATCAGGATCACAACGTTTGGGTAAGAAAAATTCATCACAAACATGCTATTCTTAAAAATATATTTATTAATAATATAATATTATTCCAAATGCCAGTAGCGGATGTCAAGAGTACTTAAAAATAATAGCTGGCTCAAGTGTTTTCCCGAGAGCTTATTGCGATCTTCAGACATAATTCTATCAGCCTTTGAAAATAGCCTCTCAGCTGGCCCACTGGCTACCACTCGCCGCGATGCGCGTTTGATTTTGAATTTGGCATTGAAGGTGCAAATTCATAGGACGCTCGGTTCAGCGTTGCCCATAGTCACGTGATTTCGAGTTGACACTAGCGTCAAGAAAAAAAAGCTGGATCTTTTCAGCTTTAGCGTCAAGTCGTGCAATCTGTGCGATCATCTATCTGTGCGTGCTATGATCTATTCGCTATTGGATTTCATGGATTGCATGTCTCATGTGGTCTTTCAGCCTTATCAATAAAAATGGAATTTAAATATGTAAGTAGAATATTAGTTATTTAAGTAATAAAAAGTAATAATTGAATTTATTATCCAATACTACATATATATAAAGAAAATGAAAAGAATGAATAAGTAATGAATTAAAAATGATACTTTTTGAGGTTTGGAAGAATGAATGAAGTAAATATTTTATGTTTGTAAACATATAATAAAAAATATTACATATGATAAAAAATTATTAATAAATATTTTTCATTTTTAGGATTGTGAACTTGTTCAAACATGTGGGATGTGCGAAGAAATAATCAATCAAAAGGATATTATAACGCATGGTTGCCTAGAAGGATATAGTTCTTATACCGTTGATCCAAATACATTCTATTTTTATCCATTAGCAGGTGTGTATTTTTATCTATCATTCTTTCTATTCCATTTGTAGAAATATTTTTTTTCTTTTTTTTTCACTTGAATTTAAAATATAAAAAAGCATTTTTTTTTTAATTACTTTTAATTGAGAAAAATAATTTACTTTTACTGTAATTTGTTTTAACTATATTTGTTTGAATGCTTTTTGCGTCATTTTTATTGTGTATTAAAAATATAAGTTTGAATAATCTTCAATGTTTATTGTCTTAGGCAATGTGTGTGTGTGTGCGTGTGCGTGTGCGTGTGCGTGTGCGTGTGCGTGTGCGCGCGCGCGCGCGCGCGTGTGTGTGTGTGTGTGCTGCAATGTTTGTAATTATAATTAATCAAAAACTTTAATATATAATTAATATAACATAATTTTTATCTTTTTTTATATTTATTGAAAGAAATGTTAATATTTTTTTATATTTTTTAGATGATGGTGTAACTATCATAAGACGAAGCAATAAGGAATTAGTAGAAGAACCTTTTGATAACAATATGAGTAAGTAAAAAAATTCTTTTAAATAGAGAAATGTCTTTCTGAAAATAATTTTTATAAATGTTTTTAGATAATATAATATATCACAAAAAAGAAAAAGAAACAATTT